GGGCTTCCGGGAAGGAGCCGGTGGCTTAGGATAGCGGTCACTCCAGAAACTCTTTCCATCTTCTTATAGGGATGTGACCGCGCTCCAGTAATGAATGGGTTTCAATGCCCCGCAGTTCATGATCTCCCTAGATATCTTTTTGAATAGCCTTCACCATACACCTCTCAACATGCTTAAGGTGTACCCCAAACTCCCACCTCAAGCAGGTCGCCAGCAAGAAGAAGGCATAGCTAGGTTTTCCTTTCCTTGTATAGCTCGGTAGGCTTTGTAATAGATAGGGTCTGAATGCATATGTGAAATGAAGTTTGAATGAAACTATCTGATTTTGACCTTCAATCCTTGCTAGCGCCGCACTCTCGTAACCTAGAAGGCATACCGACCTCCCGGGTCGAGCACCAAATAGATCCACCAAGGCAGCGTGCCGGCCTCTTGGGTCGAGCATCTATCACACTTTAAGCTAACAACCAAATTGTCAAAGGACGATAAACTGGGGTCCCATCAAATGATCAAACTAAATTAACAACCAAATTCCAACAACCTGGGCGGCGTGCCGACCTCCTGGGTCGAGCATCGGACCCTAAGGTTTTCTTAGGCTGCGCCGACCTCGTGGGTCGACCGGCAAAATTTTAAAGACAGTCCTGCCGACCTCCTGGGCCGAGCATCGAACTCTCAGACTTCTAAAGCTTTAAACCCCGCCGACCTCCCGGGTCGAGCATCAATTCTCAAACTTCAAAGGCATTCCATTGATTCATTATCTTAATTCGTCCCTTAGCCGCCGACCTCCTGGGTCGATCATCAAAATTTTAAAGATAATCGTGCCGACCTCCTGGGTCGAGCGCCGATTTCTCAGATTTGAAGGGAATTCCCTCCGTTATCATTCATGCCGACCTCCTGGGTCGAGTGTCAAAATTTTAAAGATAATCATGCCGACCTCCGGGGTCGAGCGTCGATCTCTCAGACTTGAAAAACATTCCACCATTACCATTCATCACCTCTCAGGGCCTCCCACTAGGACACTTAGCATTATCTGAGTGTGCTAATGTAGAAGTGAAAAGTTAAACGGTATTGATAATGAGAATGGATTTAAAACTTAAAAATCGAACATTTGTTTAATGATGAACTGGTTTGAAGATTCCAAAGAATACAGTAAGATACCGTGGACCAACCTATCCTACGAACAACGGCAAATCCGAGAAGTGCCAAATGTGGGGTACCTCTACTCCGTCTAATTTCGCAAGCTTGCAGTACCCAGCCCGGCTTGTCTCTAGGACCTTGTACGGCCCCTCCCAGTTCGGATCAAGTTTGTTGGAGCTATGAGCTCAGCTGACTGAGTTCTTTTTTAGGACGAGGTCTCCTGGCTGGTACTGCGTATTCCTCACCTTCGCGTTATGATAGCGGGCGAGTTGACTTTTATACTTAGCCATCCGTATCGCCGCTTCCTCACGCTTGGCCTCTAGCATGTCCAAGTTACACCTCAGTTCTTCTTCGTTGGCTGACGCAACGAAGTTTTGTGTCCGAGGCGAGGGGTGGCCGACCTCCGCGAGCACCACCGCCTCCGCCCCGTAAGTCAGGGAGAACGAGGTCTCATGAGTAGCTGTCCTCGGCGTAGTGCGGTAAGCCCAGAGGACGCTAGGGAGTTCATCTAGCCAGTTAGACTGGGCCAGTTCCAGCCTAGTCTTCAGCCCTTGTAGAATGGTTCGATTAGCATTCTCGACTTGGCCGTTGGCCTGGGGATGACCGACCGAGGTGAATTGTTGGCTGATCCCGAGCTCCGCGCACCAACTCCTGAAGGGGTTCCCAGCGAACTGCCACCGGTTGTCAGATATCAAGACGTGCGGGATCCCGAAGCGGCAGACTATGTTCTTCCAGAGGAACTTCTGGATTGCCCTTCCAGAGATAGTGGCCAGGGGCTCGGCCTCCATCCACTTTGTGAAATAGTCGACGGCCACCACGAGGTGTTCGTATCTTCCGGGAGCTAGGGGAAAGGGACCCAGGAGGTCTATTCCCCATTGGGCAAAGGGCCAAGGACTGTGGATGGGGACCATCTCCCGAGTGGGCTGGTGACGCAGCGGGGCGTGCACCTGGCAGGCTCGGCATTTTCGAACAAGAGCCGCGGCATCCCGAAATACCGAGAGCCAGTAGTAGCCTAGGAACAGGCATTTTTTAGCCAACACTCGGGATCCCACATGTGCTGCGCACAGGCCTTCGTGGACTTGTCGGAGGACATAGTTGCCCTCCTCAGGAGTTATGTATTTTCGCCAGGGAGACAGGTACGACCTCCTGTATAGGTTCCCCCAGCGTAGGCTTACTTAGCAGCCCTGAGCTGGAGTCGGCGGGCCTCGGTTTTGTTCACTGGGAGGGCACCCGAGCTGAGGAAGTCCATGAGAGGGGTCATCCACGAGGCCGGGCTGTCTATAGCCAAGACCTGGACCTGGCCAATGCTTTTTTGCTTAACTACCTCCACCAAGACTTCCTTGCTCAGGTGGGCAAACGAGGAGGACGCCAGTTTCGACAGGGCGTCCGCCCGCTTGTTCTGTGACCTCGGCACCCGCTCAATCTCAAAAATATCGAACAGTTTTATCGCCTCCCGCACCTTAGCCAAATATTCTTTCATAACATCCTCCTTGGCCTCGTACTCCCCGCGGACCTGGTAGACTACGAGCTGAGAATCACTCCGGACCCTGATCGCGGTTATACCCATCTGGTAGGCTATCCGCAATCCTGTCAACAGGGCCTTGTACTCAGCCTCATTATTGGATGCCGGAAAATCAAATCTGAGTACGTAGGTCAGCTCCTCCTCGGTGGGCGAGGTGAGCAGCAGGCCGGCTCCGCTCCCTTCCTTACTCGAGGCTCCTTCCACAAATAGTACCCATGGCTCTTCCGGCCGTGCCTCCTCGGACAAAGAGCTCGGCTCAGTTACGGACAAACTGGCTCCTTCGGCGAGGAAGTCTGCCAGGGCCTGAGCTTTGATAGCGGTGCGAGATTGATAGCCGATGTCGTGCTCGGCCAATTCGACGGCCCACTTGATCATTCTGCCCGAGACCTCAGGTTTTGTGAGTATCTGGCGTAAGGGTTGATCTGTCATGACAACAACGCTGTGGGCCTGGAAGTAAGGTCGGAGCTTCCGGGCGGCGTGCATCAAGGCAAGGACCAATTTCTCCGCCGGCGTGTACCGCATTTCCGGCCCTTGTAAAGCACGACTGACGTAGTATATCGGCCTTTGATCCCTCCTGTCTTCCCGCACCAAAACCGCGCTAACGGCCTCGTTGCAAGCAGACAAGTATAGGAACAGGGTTTCTCCCTGTTCCGGGGCGGTCAGAGCGGGCAGCTCAGCCAGGTATACCTTCAGGTCGATGAAGGCCTTCTGGCATTCATCCGTCCATTGAAAGTCCTTAGGTGCTTTCAGAATTCGGAAGAAGGGTAGCCCCCTTACCGCGGAGCGCGAGAGGAATCTATTCAGGGCAGCCATCCTTCCCGTGAGCCATTGGACCTCCTTGATGTTCCTCGGTGGGGCCATGTCCATGATGGCCTGAAGCTTATCCGGGTTGGCCCGGATCCCCTCTCTGGAGACCAAGAAGCCCAGGAACTTTTCTGACCTGACCCCGAAGGTACATTGCTTTGGGTTCAGCCGCATCCGGCTCTCCCATAGGATGTTCAGGATTTCCCTCAGGTCGGGAACGAGCTGCCGGTCAGTTCGACTCTTGACGATCATATCGTCCACATAGACCTCCATACTCCTGCCGATCTGACTCTGGAATAGTTTGTTGACCAGGCGCTGGTAGGTAGCTCCAGCGTTTTTCAATCCAAATGGCATTGTCCGGTAGCAGTACGTCCCTTCCTCGGTGATGAAGGAAGTCTTTTCCCGATCTTTCTCGGCCATCTCTATCTGGTGGTATCCCTTGAAAGCATCCTGGAAACACAAAATGTCAAAACCCACAGTAGAGTCTACTAACCTGTCGATCCTTGGCAAGGGGAAGTAGTCTTTTGGGCAGGCCTTATTGAGGTCTGTAAAGTCCACGTGGTTAAAAGCCACGCACATCCTCCAGGACTGGTCCTCCTTCTTCACCAGGTCGGGTAGTATACCTCCAGGATGATTTTGGATTCCAGCAGCTTGCCGACCTCCTTCTTGATCACATCATTCCTTTCGGGGGAGATACTCCCCTTCTTCTGCTTTACCGGCTTGAAGCGGAGATCTACGTTGAGGTGGTGGACGGTCAGATCAGTTGGAATCCCGGGCATGTCCATCACCATCCACGCGAAGACCGGGGCGTATTCCCTTAGTAGGGCCTTCAAACCCTCATTCTCTTCGGGGGGCAGCGACGCACCAACCCAGAGGACCCGGTCGGGCCGGTCCTCCCTCAAGGGGAACTCCTCGATCTCGTTCTGAGTGCCCAACTGTCGGGTCTCCTCCCCCAGGATTTAGGGCTCCAGGCTGGTCGTCTGGGCGACCACCTTCTCATGTCCCCGGAGCACGGCCAGGTAGCAAGCTCTGGCCACCTCTGGATCTCCATGCACCTCAACTATTCCTCCCGGGGTGGGGAATTTGACGCTGAGGTGGAGAGACGAGGGGATAGCTCGAAGCGCATTCAAAGCAGGCCGTCCCAAGAACACGTTATACGGGGATTGTTGTTTGACCACCACAAAATTGACGGGGATGGTCCGGCATTTGGGCGTCTGCCCTACCGTAACCATCAGAGTGATCATCCCCTCCGGATTGATGGGCGGTCCGGTGAAGCCCACTAGGGGTGTCCGAACCGGGGTTAGCTGTCCGTCCTCCAAGCCGAGCTCCTTGAACATCCGGTAAAACAGGATGTCCACTGCGCTCCCCTGGTCGACGTACACTTTCTTCACCCGGTAGTTATTGATCACGACATCTATCACGATGGCCTCGTGGTTTCCAGACGCCAGGGGAACCGCATCCCTTGGTCCGAAGGTGATCTCCTCATCCATGCCCAAGTGTTTCAGGGAATCATCCCCCTCGGGGGGAGGCCGCCTGTTCTTCAGAGCTGTTTGGCTGTCCCCCCCATGGGGCCCCAAGCAATGGTGTTTATTACCCCTGCTAAGTTCTGAGTGTCCTGGTCGGGGGAGTTGCCCCGAGGAGCGTCTTGCCGCTCAAGGCGGTCGCGACGTTGGCCTTCGCCCCTGTCTCCTCGGTAGGTGCGTCCTGACTCCTGGCCTGGCCGACCTTGCCGCACGAAACGCCCCAGGAAGCCGCGCTGGATAAGATCTTCAATCTCCTTTCGCAGGGCCCAGCACCCCTCCGTATCATGCCCAACGTCACGGTGGAAGGCACAGTATCGGTCCTGGTTTTTCTTGTTCCGGGGTGTCCCCATCTTAGGTGGCCATTCCCCTAGGCCCTCCGCCTCCATAACGGCCAGAATCTGAGCTCTGGGCCGAGTTAGGGGGGTGTAGCCTTTTTCCGGAGGCGGCGGTTGCGCGGGGGCTTTCTCTCTTGAGAGCCGATCGAAAACATTCTTCTTGGCCGGGCCGTCCTTGTTCTCGGGGGGGTTTCCCCGTTCTCTCCGATCTCCGATCTCCCGATCTGACTCTCTCTTCAGGCGAGCATCCTCCTCCGCAATTGCGGCGGCGTGCGTCCTGGTCAAGAACTCCTCTAGGCCTCCAGGAGGCTTCTCGACGAGCTTGCAGTAGAGCTCTTCCGCCCTGAGCCCGTTCATAAAGGCGGCCATGACCACCTTTTCGTCCTTGTCCCTGATCTGCAAGCTCTCCGTATTGAAGCGGGTCATGAAATTCCTCAGGGACTCGTCCGGCTTCTGCTTGATTGCCATCAGGTGAGCCGCGTTTTTCGAGTAAGTCTTCGAGGAGACGAACTGGGCGGCGAACTGTCTGGCCAGCTCGGGGAAACTCCGGATGGATCCCGGTGCCAGACCCTGGAACCAGAACCGGGCCTTCCCCTTTAGAAACATGGGGAAGGTTTTGCAGCGGATTTCATCCGCAGCGGTTTGCAGACGCATGTGCGTCAGGAAGACCGAGAGGTGGTCTTCCGGGTCAGTCGAGGCGTCATACAGCTCGATGTTCGGGATTTTGAACCTCCGGGGTAGTGGATAGTCCTTTATCTCCCGGGTAAAGGGCGAGGTGGTGTAGTTGTCCTCGTACAACTGCGGCCGCAGGATCTGCTCAAGCTCGTCCCGGACAGGCTTCCACTGGGTGGGGTCCCGCGGCCGGCTCTTGATAGATCGGGCGGGGGAGCGCTCAGACTCCTTCCGCGTAAGTTTCCACGAGGAGGGATTGCTTGGTCGGCCCCCAGCGGAACGGTCACGAGAGTACCTCTCGCTATCCCCGACCACCGAGGCCGTTTCCTCCTGGGAGGCTGGTCCCGTGACTCATCCTCCGAGGGAACGGGAGGTGATTCTCTCTCCTTCCCCTTCGCCTTGGAGGTTTGTGCGCCCCCGGCTTCACCCTTCTCCTTTGCTTGTCGAATTATGTCTTCTAGCATGGGAACGTTCTCCGTCACGAACTGAAAGATCTACTGTCTCCGTTCCCCTGAAAGGGCTGAGCCCCCGGCACCCCAGGCCGCCTCGGTCTCCATTCGCCGGGACCCCTCGCCGGCTCCAGGATCGGTGTTTTCTACGGTTCGCTTGGAACGCGTTCTCGCCATCAACACAACTACTCGTACGTTCCCACAGACGGCGCCAACTGAAGAAGCGCTGAGCTTCCCCTGACCGAGCTGACCTGATGAGCTCGGGGTGCTGATGAGAAGAGCGTGTCCCAAGCCTGCAAAGCGAACAGGAGAGTGATCTAACAGGGGAGCCCCGAGGTCGTCCCCGAGGGCACTCCGACGATCAAGTTAGTTTTCCGGTGAGTGAGAGTCACGGGAAGTAAATCAGTCGGGAGTAATTGGCAAATAGTGAGCGTACCTCCTGCAATTGGTGTGTGTGTGTTACCATTTATACCTGCTTGGGAGTCCGACCTCCGTAAATTTCGGGACCTGCCCAGAATAGTCACGATCCCGCACTGAGGGGGATTCTCCCCGCCCTCTACGGGATCGTTCCCTGGAGCTCCTCGGAGCCCTAGCAGCGGAGGACCGCGGGACGGTTCCCATGGGCCCGGGGTCTCAGCCCAGCTCAGGCCTCCCTGGGCTGCCACGTGTATAGGCCCCGGACGGGGCCTCTGCACTATTCAAACTAAATTTTTTCCTGCGGGGATGTTTAATGCTTCGTACAAAAGTTTTTACTCCGAAAAGGTAGCAGGCTGTTGGTAAAGCCGAGCAAGAACCTTCCATGGAGGTCTCATTTTTCTTTAATACACAGCCTATGGAACTTAGTTAGCATAAGCAGACAAAAAATTCTTCACACAATGAGATCTTTTACATCAATACAGCAGAAACAAACGGTACATTTGCATTGGACTTGCATGTTGTAAAGAATCATACGAGTATATGTAGCAGAAGATTTTAAATTTTGATTCCTTTAGCGGATTGTTCTTTAATTAAATCTACGTGACGAATAGTTAGTTTAAGAAAATTATCTCCACAATTTTAGTACATCTCCCTAAATGCTGAATATACATACTTTGAAATACACATCATTAAATCCCGGTGTGCAAAAAAAATTTTCAGTTTAGTCCGCTTTCTGGTTTGTTTTACTTCTTATTTTACTTATCCTTAAAAAAACAACTGACTGTTCACTATATTTGTTTTAGATATTTGAAAGTTATTTTTCCAGTGCAGGAGATATGGTATTCACCATGCTTCAGCTGCTAGCGCAAGGTATTCTAATCAAGGTCAGGTGCACTAGTTCCTTTTAAATTCTAAAGAAAGCCACAAGGATTTTAAATCTTGATAACGACTAAGCAACAAAACATTGTCAGTGTGATTAACTAAGAAAGCGATTTAAAGCAGCATGAATGCAGGGCCTGCAAGATACACATTCCTGGAAAAATGTTTTTCACAAAAGAGCAAAAGAAAAGAATTTCCCTTGACATAAGTTTATTTCATGAAGCCAAAACTGAATCTTAGCATATTAAATGAGCAAACGAAAAACCAAGAAAAGTGTAAAAGTTTTTTTTTTTTTTTTACATAGTCAAATCCAAACTTTAGATATTAAAGGAGTATAAGACGATTGTTTATGTAAGTTATAAAATTGTTCAAGTGATTAGTAAAACTATAAAATTCTAATCTTCAATATTATCTCGATCCGAGAGTCTAGATTAGAAGAAATAAGAAAATAAACTACAGAATAAGTCACTTGGTCCAATTATTTAGTTAAATTGTGAAATTATTCTTTTCAACTCTTACCTCTCCAAAATCTAGGTTGATATTCATCTTCAAATCTTACATCTTGGAATTCTAAACACTGAGGAAAGTACACTGAAACGGTGGATATTGATGAACTCTTAGGTTTCCACGTAGGGAACTAGACCTTTAACTTTTGGAATTCAATTATTAGTTATAAATGTTCAAACAATATTTCTGCCAATCAAACTAAGGTAGTTATCATTAATTACTCAAATCTTCGGTACAGAACCCATTGGCCGCTCATTAGGTGTTACAAGAATAAACTAGCACACCTAATTTAGGTTAGAAGCGAATGCATCTGCCAAAAAAGTTCCAAAATGCTTCAACTATGTGCAAAAGAAACAGATCCTAATGAATGGCAAGCTCCATATACGAGAAGGGATTTATTGAAAAAAGCAGTGTTGTTAGTTCCGGACCAAATTGGCCGATTCGATCGGTCCGATGGTGAATCGGGTTTCTTTTTGAATTGATTTGTAGTATAAAATTGCTTTAATCAAAAACCAATCAAAACCATCAAAAACCGGCTAAACCAGTGACCCGATTCGAAATTTTTTTTTTCTTTTTTTCCCCAAACATAATTTGAGTTATTTAAATTGTAACACTTTCATTTATTAATAAAAATAAAAAAAAGGTCACCTATTTAGTATAAATATCAAAATCATTCGCTTTCCTAAATGATCTTTAAATTAAGATGTTTATATCCCTATGATCTCATTAATTTAGCATTAGTGATTCCAACTTCCATTAATTTAGTTTTTCAAGTAGTTTTGGAAAATAGACATATTTTAACCATGAATTTACATTTTTATATATAATTATTAGGTGTATATTTGATTGCAAATCTAATATTTTTGGAACATTTTTCATGATTGACCAAATATAACCAATAACTTAATTTCAATATTTCTGAAACTTATAAAAATATAAAATAAGTATAACATCATGCTGACGTCAGCAGAATTTTGAGAACAGTCCAACTGATCTGATCAATTGACCCTTGATCTAGTAGTTTAGCCGAGTCACTATCCGGTCGGAGTTTAACAACATTGGAAAAAAGACAAGACATAAACCTCATCTCCAAATTACAAACAAAAAGAAAAAAAAGGATTAAGTTACATTGGATTTTAGAATTATCACGAAGATAAGATACGTGCATCTGACTTTAGTGTAACGAAACTCTTGATATGCAAAGGTCAATTTAGGAAGAGTGTCGCTACTGAGTCCACTTCAAACGCATATTTTACTGCTCAACACTCGCGTATGTATTTGTGTGTGCAACCTCTATACCATGTCATTTGTGATTTTGTGATTAATATACAGTACATGGATGATGTTTTTTTGGTGGTACATGAAATTTATTTTTTATCTCCAAAACTAAGGTAATTGAGTTTCAAATTCATGAAACTTTGTATGGTAAGTAAAATTAGAAATGGCTGATAATTTTGTCTCAATATCAACTCAAAAAAAATACTGAATAGATACTTGGAATCACTGGTTACATACGTGGAGATAATACAGATCAATTTTTTTTAAGATTAACAATTTTTTTGAAAATTAATCTTAAAAAAAATTAAGCAGATACATTCTCTTTACCATTATGCCATCCAAAAACTAATGCTCGAATATTTTTATTAATGCAATGAATATAATATTATTTATGGACAATTAGTTTATGAATTAAAACCTTAATCAAGTAACCCACATCTTAGGTTTGGAGAAAAAAATACGGCGTTAGTTGGTAATGATCCGGCTCTGCTTGCACCAAGATCAAATGTCATTATTTTTAGCAAAACCACAAGTTGTGATACATTGCAATCGCTTCATGATAAGATCAAAAAATTCCTTAACTTTTGAACATTGATATAATGTAAACAGTACAATTCTTCTTTTTCATCAAATTCACAGAACACAACGTAGCATAGATAAAAATTTTCAAAACCCAAAATAGGAAGATTACATTTATAATCCAATAGCGTAAGACAAATTTGAATAGCTTTCAAATTATTAACATTCTCCTTCATTACTTGGAAATTTTTGCATTTAGGAGATGATTAGATAATGGGATAATTTCAGAAACCTCCGTTGAGGTTTCTGACAATTTCACTCGGCTCCTTCCAATTTTAGAAAATTACGCTGATCTCCCTTGGTTCAATAAAATGATTACAATACCCTATATTTAATAGATAATTTACCATATTTGTGGGACACAAAAATCAAACCAAAAGTGAAAGAAAAAAATAAAAACCTGCAACAACTTGTCATCATCCCCAATCATACTTAATTAACAGCAGTTTCTTTTTTCTTTCCCTCCCTTTTTTTCTACCTCTTATGATTCACTCCTTCCTACCTATAACCTCATAGTCTATTCCACCCATCAACTACACCACCATGCAAATCTACCTGAAGTGTTTATTTCTTGTCTATTTCTTTCTTTCTGTGGTACTTAACTATTAGCCCCTCTTATTTATTTCTTCTCGTATTATAATTTGCATACATTAAAGAATCAAAATTTCCAAAATTACAAATTGAGGGAGCCAATGAAAATTTCATGGCCAAATTAGATGGAGATGGTTGTGATAGAGGGGAAAAATGAAATTAACGGGCTATGGTTGGAAAAGGAAAATGTGAGAACCCGTAATTTTCTCATTTTCTAGGGTTTTTCTCGTTAATGGCATGTTTTCTACATTTTCTTTATAAGGAAACTTTTTCCGATAATTT